CGCCAATATAATGGTTGCGTAATATACCTGGGAAGCACCACCCTGTCCAACCAAGTTCCTGTTGGCACGACACCAGATGCCCAATTGCGTAATGACTTCAAATTCCCTTGCATCTAAACAATATTTTTTCATCTATGGTTTTAGCGCAGAAAAGCAAACATTTCAACTGTCAAATAGTGGTTTAGCAAGCTACACAACTCGTTTCCTTGAGAACCGGCATTAATTCAAGTTGGCCTTCGATAAGGTTCATTCGAAGCTGAGGGTTTGCGTGAGCGATTTCTTCAAACAGCTGTTCACTACAGTTAGGAACAATAAGCTTGCCGTGCGCGATTCCTGCTTATTTATATCGATTCACACAATCCGAAGCTTGTTAGAGGGATTTGACACGTTAGTGGTTTTGTTCTCTATCGTCCGGATTTCAGATTCCTAACATAGTAAAATTCTCAAACCTGTTACGATTCAACCCCATAGAAAGCGTCGTCATATGCCAAGAACTCAACAAAGAAGAGACTTGTGAATATATTACGCAATTTTTGGGGGGTTTCATTCCCTTTAGGGTTGAGATCACTCCTGCAAGACGAAAATTGGTTAACGCAACGACGATCTGGAATTGCGGAAATTTCGAACCCCCATAACTTGAGGTTTTTGTTATGAAAATTAATAGATATTGTCGAGCCTTTCCTCCTATAACGTTTTGAAGCTTCGTTTTCGCATGCCTTATCGCAAAAGCATGTGTGGAAGAAAGACGTTTCCTATGTAAAATAAAGCGAGATTATCTATGTAGTACAGTTACGTATATTCCACGAACTTCTATTCCAATTCCGGTTGGTTAATAATTTCCGGTTTTTTAATTATTCTAATTGGTAGCGGACACAGTGGTATGCTTATTTTTACGATGTTTTCGGATAGAAGAGTCAACCTTTTTCTTTTTAACATGAACACGATTCTTTCGGGGTTTTATCGGATCGAGATCATACCAGTCTTCACTATTTTTTCGGATACGTTACGCATTATTGCGAAGCAATGGGCTCCGCCCTTATCAATCTTGATCAATAAACCAACTATTTTTTTCTATCGCTGGTTATTATTATGTATGTCCCACGGGCTGATCTCTGATTCGCTCGAAGAAGAGACAGAGTCTCGAATCTCCGATTCACCATTTCTTTGAAATAAAACGCATGACATCACGTGACATAGTGCTTCTGGCTAATTATAATTTTTTCTTTTTACTTTATAATATCTTCACTTAATAGAATGTTTTTTTACAGATGTAGTATTATATATATTTATAATCTCTGATCACAATCTAGATAAAGAAGAATCACTTGAGTCTGAAATATCTAAATTAAAAGAAATATTAAAATTCATGAAATATTTGATCCTATTTTTCTTGCTAGTACTGCTATTTTTGGAAATATTATCATCTAATCTTCTGGATGGTGGATATGTAAGAGATATGTTATGAAATATTCATTGCATATTATCTTTGATATTTGAGAGAATTTTGTTAATTATATTTATAATCTTCTCTTGAGCTAGATCAGATTTAGATTTCATTGAATTAGATGAGTTATTTTTAGTAGAGCTAGCTTTATGACTCAAAAAGTTGTGAGCCTGTTATATTTACTAATTAATAAGATATTCATATCATCAATTATAATTTTAGCATAATAGTTACAGATTTTGGAAGAAAATTCAAAGCTAATTTTTGTTTCACGTATTCATAATCAATCTTGTTCCAATATTAAATCAAATAATAAATTTTTGCAAATTTGAAAGTCTATTATTTTGATATCATCTAAGCTTCATCACTTTCCTTTATATTAAAATTACAAATCTAAGTATTTTATCTTTTCACCTATCAAATTATTATCAGATATATCTTCTAACTTATAATCTTCTTCAAGCTTATCAAACAAGTATCTGCTAATAATATTATATTTAAATATTATATCTATTAATGTTTTTACTAGAATTTTTTCTTTAATAAGAGTATTTACGAATATATTAATAATATATATTATAATCAAAAAAAATAACTAAGTTTGGATAATTAATTTTAGGTATATATATTACATATTTTCTGGATATTCTCAATTACATTTAATCTTGCAACTAGTTTTATTAAGCAATTTAAGAGTTTTATTTTGAAAGTTTACTTTTATTACATTTTTCTAGAATCATGACTGATTTAATATCTAGAATCATGACTAACCTAATATCAATACAGATTCAAGTTTAGATTTATTGATAATAAAAATATCAGTAATTTTCACTTGTTCTATTGCATGAATTATTCCTAATATATTAAGCTCGCTAATGAGACTATATATTTCTGTATTAGATGTATTATTAATCTCTAAGCCTAATACATCTACTAAACTCCTGCATATAATATTGCAATTAGCATCAGAATCTAATATAGTTTTAACTGGTACTTTATTAATTTTGCAAGATAAAATTCTCATCATGTTTTATTATGATAATATATTTTTTTTCTATGAATTAATAATATATCATTTAAATTTAATAGTTAATAATAGTTATGAAATAGTTATTTCTGACAATAATATCTCAAAACTAATATCTAAAATTGTTAAACAGATATCACATAGAAGAATTTTGATTTTTCTTTACCAATTACTAAAAATAATGAAATTAAGATTGGGATAAAGATTATTAATTTAATAGCAAATTCAGATATTTCTCAAAGAAATTATATATTATACAAAGCTAAAAGAAAAAAGAGATTTTTAAATAATACTGCATCTGACTCTTTATCTGGAACTGGATCTGGATTTAATTTCTGAATTATCTAGTTATGAAGTAACTATCTCAGGTAATGATAATAAAGATTTTATTATGAAAGCAAAAAAGCATGATTAGTAATTATATAAGTCTATAATATCTGATATTTCAGTATTTTCTTTTCTAATTACTGAAATAATTAGTTTATTATTTATTACATCATAATATTTGACTGATAGAGCATGGTTTATCTTATATCTATATGCCAATTATCATAAATATTTGATAGTCAGTATTATTCTTATCTTTATGTACTCTAAAAGCATAATTGACATTTATTTTTCTTAATATATATAAGATAATTTTATGGTGACTTAAAAATTGATTAAGAGATACAATATTAATATTTCTATTCTTATCTTTTAACAAGAAGAGAAATTTATCTAATATTAATCTCTGAATTCAGATAAGTAATTCTCTTGCTTGTATTAAATTTTTTTTCATTAAAAGAAATAGTTAAGATTCTTTTACTTTATCTTTATTTTTCATATAACCAATACAGTATCAAGAATAATTAGAATTATACTATGACTCATGACTTGGTCTATATCAATTGATACTATTGTGATATAAACTTTTAGTAAAATATTAGTTAACTTTATTATTAGTTGCTTCATATCATAATATAATTGGATAAATAATTATTTATATCTTATTGAACATTAACTCTAGAGAATATTATTTATAAATATTTTTAGAAGATTTTACAAATATAATGATCATGACAAAATTATTATAGCAAAGTTAGCAAAACTATTATAGCAAAACTAATAATACTATTATAATAAAATCAATATTATGATACTAACTAAAATAATATTTAGATTATAGTAAAACTAGTATAAGTATCATAATAAAAATATTATTCGTATAATCTTTAAAATATATAAAAGTAATGTATCTTAGCTAGTAAATTTAGATAGTTTAGATATTTAGTTTAGTACAGTTTAGTTAAGTTAGTTAGCTTAGTTAATTAGTTAGTTATTTAATTTAGCTTGAGTTTTATGAGTTTAGTTCTTAATTCATATTTTAATAGATTATAGTTTTTAAGAGAATTCTAAGAAATCTCTCTTGTAAAATAGATCTTGATTAAGATCTATTATTTTATCTTGTTAATAAACTAAATATTA